ACATTCATAAATAAATAAATAAAAATAAATGATTATTTAAGTGGGGAACTTGGTGGTTTAGCGTGATCCTGGCCCGATCACCTGCCTGCATAACCGTTGGCCTTGAAGCAGTACTTCATGATGAAATACTGAACCCAAAGTACAGGTGAGTATAGCTATCATGTAACATAGCTATTTTTATTGATTTTGTCAATAAAGAAGTTTTTAGATTTTATATTATGTGTTTTATATAATAAAGTGGTAGTCATACAGTACTGTATATTTATATTTACATATTACATGGTTGTTTTAATTTTATTATTAATTAGTTATAAATGTGAGAGAAACGAATTTAATTTCTATTGCTTAGCAGAGAACTTTACAATCTATTGCTTATATTTATGTTATATTGAATTAAAGATTTTTGTGTATCGTTATCAATAATTCTGGATATGGCCAATCTCCGTCTAGCGGTCCTACAAAACCATATTGTATTTATTATTTACTGCATACAATCCTCAATAAAAATCTATTAAGTCATTAATTCATATTAACCTGCATTTAATAAATAGCTAGGTGGAAAAGTATTTGAAGCTTATTGTCAGATGCATTTACATACATGTTAAATGAGGAAAGCGGTAGTAGAAGTAATTGAATATCCTATTGTTTCCTCATTTAAGGATCACCCTAAGAACGAGTCTTCCAATTATTTATATTTTCAAAAGGATAGTGATTTATTTTAACCTATAAATCAGTCTATGCTATGTTAAATGGATTTGAAATGGCATACAAATCAAAATCTTTGACAAAGCAAGTTAATATATATTTTTTGAGAAATATTTAAAGTAAAAAGTAAATGATTCATACAAGGAAATAAGGAATATTTATAGGAAGCATGGGTTCTATTAACTCATACGTACATTGTTTTCGGATTTGAAGACGTCTTCTTGACCTCGCTCTAATTCACATATCTTTTGTTTGTTAATTAAGATTTTTTTTTCACTCGTAATCGTATGTAACAATGTTTAGCTACTAAAAATAATTAAGTTCAGGTTTAGTTACCTAGGATTCCATCTGGACAAACGTCTAACTTGGAATCCTCATACCAGACTGAAACGACAAGAAACAGCTCGACGTTTCCGACTACTTCAACACTTACTAGACAAACGCTCTAACCTTCCAATTAACTACAAAAGACTAATTTACATAACTATAATAAGGCCTATTTGGACTTACGGTGTTGAGCTATGGGGCTCCACCAAACTTTCAAATTCCTCTCGCATCCAATCTTTACAATCCAAAATCCTTCGTAAAATCCTCAACGCTCCTTACTTTGTTACAAATAAAATCATCCATAATGACCTTAATGTTCCTTATGTATCAGATTTGGCCCAATCCAGATATCTGTCCTTCCATAATAAACTTCATAACCATCCCAACCCTCTTGTTTCTAACCTTGCTTCCTATTCAATTCATTATAATCCTCCGAGGCATCTGAAAAGAAGATGGCCACGTGATCTCCTAATATAGACATATTATTAGAGTGCTACCAATGGGTAGTTTCTCAACATGTGTTTCATGTCTTTATATCCATGTGCGAATTTACCAGATGTATTTTTTGTATACAGTTGTAAATATCTTATAAATAAATAAATAAAAAAAAAAGTTCAGGTTTATCATTATTTTGACCTAAAGTTTCCACCAGATTTCGTCTATAACAAAATAAGATTAAACTTTAAAAATATATTCTGTATTTAAAGAAGATAACCTTACTGATTTCTATATTGTAACATCAGAAGAATCCGGACTAAAACAAACTCCTACCTCATACTATTGAACATCGGCAAAATAATACATACTAGCTGCATATACTCCGCACAAACCTAATATTTGTTTCTGACTTTAATACATTAAGAGCTCAATACAACATCCATTCAAAACGTTTGAAACGCAAATGTTTAATACTTATATTTAGTAAGCAAGCAGTTTACAATCTGCCATGGTTTAACTATTACGTTTCCTTACACTTATAATTTAAATATTAGCTGTATACTTCAATAGATTTCATAAAGTAAATAAATCTTCTAAACATTGTTATAACATATGATGAAAGCAAAAGGCTCAAATTCTTAAGGATAAATAGTTAGGGCAATCAGGATGTATGTTACTTTACCATTAAAAAATAAATAATAAAAAGGGTTTTATTAAAATGATAAACTTTAATAATAAAATTCATAAAGAAAAAGCAAAAATAATTGAAGCACATTTATTGACAAAAAAACCAAGAAGTATTTCAAGGAAACACGTTTATATAAATAAAAATAAAATTAATAATTGAATCATTAAAAAAAATAAAATGTTTCCAAATTAAAAGAATAATTACTAATCGATGCACTAAAAAATGGCAAATTCCAAAACCTTAAATTCCTGTAAACAAACAAATATTTGGAGTGCAACAAATACTAAATTTTCAGAGCCCGATAATTCCTCACCAAATCGGCCAATTTCGATGATTTTTTACGTTTTGATCAAAACTCAAACTGAGTTTTAAAAAATAGTTTCGTTTATTTTGCTCGAAAATCCTGCTAAATTTCTTGTAGATAGCTAAAGTCGTATAGAAGTTATAACATCTTTGTGATTATCAGTTCAGATTTCGGGATTTATTTTTTATTTTTTGATTGCTATGAAAATTCGTATTTGGTAATTTTCCGAGATGAGAAATACATATCTCAACTTGGTTTCTCCTTAAAAAAAATATTTTAACCCATTTTGCTCCATGGGTCGGTAGAAATTATTCCATTTCAACATTTTACTAGTACTATAGAAATATGCTAAATATAAATTAGATATAATAAAGCTCTTCTGAGTAATATAAATCGAAAATAAGTGTAAACAAATAAACAAAAAAAAAAAAAAGAAAACATTTTATCAGACATAACTGTTATAGATTTTGATGATTTTTTTTTTTTTGTGTTTTGTAGGGAATTTATTGAGCTCTTAAATATCCATGTACAATGTACCCAAAATTGCGCACTTTTCGAGTTATTCGGAAATTATGAATTCATTTGTAACGTCTCGATTCGATCGTGTGGTTTAAAACCTCTCACTTTTACATTACATTTTATTTAAGTCCTGGTTTAAAATTGGGAATCAAAATTACGATTCGCGCACTCTACGTAATATTCCCTTTCGATTGATACCTCATTCGTCAAAATCCTCTGCTCCTGAGAGCCGGAAAAGAAATATATATTTGAGAAATAACATATAAGATGTTTACATTAAATATAAATATTTTTATTATTTAACCAATATGTGACATATTCAAATTGGATCATCATGGATGGATTAGCATGGTATACCTTTGATCAAAGTTTTGAATATATTTTAACGCAGTTTAAAAATGAAAAATGAACTCGACTGAAATTCCAATCAAGAACAATCATTAATTAACATAATGTATACTAATACTTCTATTAAAATCAACTTAGAATCTAGGGATTTAGGTACATTAATAATTCCTACTGTAGATTTTTCAACTCTTCAAAAACAGCTTTCATCTCAACAAGTGTACTAGATATGGACTTTTGTTCCACAGAGTGCAGAGCTTCAACTGCACATAGAGCTCTATTGCATCAAGGTCTAGATTTTTCTGCGGCTGCTTAAGGAATGTCATACCAAACTCCTCTGGTGATTTACCGAACTCTGGTGATTTACTATAATGATTCAACGAAACTGTTTCCTATATAGCGAGGGATGGCACACGGATATGTTCCCTTGTGTACATCATGTATTTCAGAAGATTTAAGGACTTGTCCTCCAGAACCTCTAATTCCGTAGGTGCACCAGAAATAGTGCAGAACATACTTTAGCTTCCTTTGGATGCGATCTGAGGAGTGGTTGAGCATATATTTGTACTCTACAAATAAAAAAAAACGGTCTTCTGATTACCTAAGATACAGTTCTCACTTGAACTCAATGAATGAATGAAGGGAACTCAATTCCAGTCTTTAGCACTAAGGGTAGTGTTATAAACCAATTTCAGTCAATTTTTTTCTGATATCTGGTGAAAAATGCACTTCACCCTGAATGTATTTATTATTTAGCTGTTATTATTATTTAGCTTTTAGGTCACCTTCAATAAGTTTTCTCCTCACGCCAAATGGTAATCGACATTTGGATAATTTTACTTAATAGAATTTTTAGTTTATTTCTGGTTACAAATGTTCCCAAAACAATACGTGAAGTCCTCAATGCGAATAAACGTATAACTAGTAGACGTCAGTAGCTTTTGGTCTCACCTCCTAATATAATGTGATTATCACGATTTGTCTCGGCGACCATACACTGGCTGTATTTCTTAATACTGATTAAGTTAATAACATTATTATTCTCAAGAACATTGTCCCCGAATAAAGTTTGAGTTCTTAATTCTAAGATGTCTTACGAGTAGGAATGATTGGAATTCTTCTTCAGAGATGTTAAATTGTTTTAAGTAATATTACTATCAGAGAAAAGATCAACTATATGTAGTAGGCCAAATAACGACTTGTAGTGAAGTAATCTAACAAAGCAAAAATTTACATTATATTGATAAAAAATATTAAACAAATATTAGAAGATAAACCAGGGATTGTTCGTAACTTACACACAGATTGTTAAATAAAAACGATCACATAAGTAAATTCATGTGATAATTTTGTCCACCAGTATATACTCGTATATATATTTATATACTGTTATATATATATATATATATATATATATATATATATATATATATATATATATATATATATATATATATATATATATATGTGTGTGTGTGTGTGTGAACAGTCAGAATCAGAGGTCAGTGCCCGCTGTAATACTCAAAATATTACGTTATGTAAAGTTCATTATTATTAATGTATGTATCAGTTTGTCCGAAGGTCACATTTAAAATTATAAAAGTATAAAAGGTTTTAAAATAGCTCATTTCTCAAGTGCTGTAGCATCTTAGCTCGCGATTCAAGCCTTTCAATATGCCAATATTTCGCAATCATATCTACTTCGGGATAGGAAACCCGATATCCGACGATCCTCCGTTCGACAGAGACGACGAGATAGCTCGAGATCACGACATCGCTTATTGCAAGGCTAAGACCTTCGATGATATCAAGAATGCCGATAGCAAAGCGATCAGAGAGTTCTGGATGGATCTTCTGGAGACAAGCAACTGGCACAGTCTGGTTGGAGCGGTGGCTCTAGGAGTGAAGACGGGGGCGGAGAGGATCGTATGCCATCCGATATATCCGTGGAAGCCGGGGTCTTCTTGTCGCAGAAGAATCCCTTCGGCCGTTGATGGGTTAGGTAATGTCGAGGAAGCAAGAGAACAGAAGAAAACTTCAGCTTCATCTGTAGAATAGAGTGAAAATAATAAGTGCGTAGTATATGAAAGACATTGTTGGTGTAAGTTTGTTCACATGTTACACTTAGAAGAAATATTTCTGTTGATGTTATTGAGGTGTTATTGAGAAATAATTTATAAAACTTTTATTCTTATGAAATAAAATGGCCTTGCTCTTGCTGATGGGTTAACATCTTGTTGTTGAGGTGGTGCAGCTTAAGAGCTCTAGTTCCAAAGAAAACAAGGAATTGCATCATTTCAGTTTTATGAACTAGTTTTATATTTTTGAGTGAAACTGATGGATTTAATCAATACAACAAACTGTAAGCATCACGTTTTATATTTTCTTGATGTATTGAGGATCACATTGAAGGAAGTAATATATATTAATATAATTTTATTTTTAAACAAGATAACTTCCATATAAATAATCAATATACTAATCGCCAAAAGTTAGTCAGAAATAACATTTTACCTATTATTATCAAAAATAATCTTACTAACAATTCTAAAATTTGATCTATCAATTTTAGTAAAAAGATCTATTATTTTTAGCAATGGCAACACTTGTAGTGCTGAAAAACATTGTAAAGGTCGATGATAACTTAATTAAAATCATAGATATTTATGGGTTGGTCGTAATATGTTGAAAATTTATGTTGATGAAAATGACTAAATTCAAAACAAAGGAACTTTATAGTAGTAAATCTAGTATGGGTTATTCCGTGAGCTGTGAGTTGACAATGACTTATTATTTACTCTAACATATAACGGTATAAATACAATGTAGTATAGAACTCTAAAAATACTATTTTTTTTTCTAAAATCTTTGTGTTTTGAAAATATATTTATTTTTTAACGAAATTCCTTTTGTAATTTAAAAGTATTTTTTTGCATTTTTTTTTTTTTTTTTTTTTTTTTTTTTTTTTTTTTTTTTTTTTTTCTTACCCTCCAAAAAGTTTATTGAAACAATTACATATATAGTATACAATAATACAATATAAACATGTAATAAATTCCTTCCACTGCCCGAGGGCATCCACTGCCCGAGGGCATATTTTTTTGCATATTTTTACCCTTAAGCATATTTGTTAATTCAACAAATTTCTTTCAACGGGTTGTGGATTGAGTTTTATATTTTTAGATAAGCAATGGGATCAATACATTTGAAATCTTCAGGTTTGAATTTCGTTGCTCGACATTTTAGATTTTTTCTTTAAAGTTATTCTGTAATAATCGGTGATAGAAAAACAAGTGTTCAGTTTGTTTTGTTTTTTCAAAATGGTCGTTTTGAATTTTCTTCAGGACTCGCTTTACAGAAATGTTTCTGACTCTGATAATTTTGCAGATATGAAACAAAATAAAGCACTGGTGTACTCTTTATTTTATTACAACATATCAAAAATTTATAGAGTATTTGAACAGACTAATATAAATTAACAAGAAACGAAACCTTCAGGACATTAAAAGTGTATTGATGGAAAGATAATCATCTTTAATTTTTTTTTTTTTTCATTCTGCTCTAATAGTGTGGTAGTTATATGGAAAAATTCAGCCTTGAAAACCCTATCGTCTTTTTTAATATTAATTTAAAAAGCTTTTGAACTTTTCTGAGTTTAATATATCAAAAAAGAATGAGTGAGAAATTACGAAATCGGCACATTTTATTTCTCTTACAGAAATGTAACTCTTTCTGGGTTTATAATAAATGGCAAAAATCAAACACAGTGAACTCTTCCTTACTTAACTCACAACATTCGGTCTTAGTGAATGATAAAAATTAATCGAAACCTGAATGAATTAAATTGAAAATACACAAAAATATTCTTGTTGGAAAGTATGTAAGTTAGTGTTAACCGCTAGTCCTAAAAAATTATAATTTCTTTATTTATAATTAAGAGTTGTTCATGTGACCAAAAAAAGTTGTTAGAATAAAATATCGTGGAATTTTGATAAAAATATAATAAATAAATGACTGCGCTACCTATTGTACCGAGATCGTTCTGATTAGATGTTTCATACGGATTGATGTGTTCAAGTACCGAGAAATCTCGCGTTGCAATAACATTTGATACATTGTAGTTGTATAACCATTAGAATTTCAGTTTTCAACTTGTTTCTCAATATTATAATAAAAAGGTGTTAACTATTAAGGTTTCATAATTTTTCACTGATGTTAGTTCGTTTCGAGAAATTAAACTTCGAAAATCCTCCAAAAAATGACTTATGGCTGTTTTTTAAAATGCACATGTAAAAAACGACAAGGATTTCAAAATTAAAAATTCTTTACCCAGTACCAAAACCATAAAACTATACCAGAAAAAAAAATCAAATTTGAGACTTTTTCCATTATTGTGCTAAAATTCTCGTTCATGTCAATTTTCATAAATGTTTTTAACATTTCTCTGTTTAGTTAATGCGTTTCAATACAAACAAAATTATAGAACATCATTAACACAATTTTCTGCAAAATTACTAGAATTAGAGATATTTTCACAAAATTATTTTTTTTTTTTTCGGAAAACAAATTTAAAATGACTGTAAAGAAAAAAAAGCATTAACCTGAAAAATAAAATCAGGACAGCTTCAAAGATTGATTTGAAATGGATTGACCCAGATTTGTAATAAAATTTAGCATGAGCTTATTTGATATTGTTATCGTTGTCTATTCAACTATTTCACAACAATAAAAATTAATTGTAAATAGTTATGGATTATAAAGATATGATTGATTAGAATAACTACGTCTTTTACTTTTTCCTTCGATTTTCAATTCTACATGTTCTATGTGAAACGGCATAGTTCAATTGTTAGACATATTTAATGTACGAATAAAACAATAAAATATAAATAAATAATCCCATGTGATTCATTTCAATGATAAATATATTTAAAAATTATTAAAATAATTTCACCATTGTACAGCCCAATTGATTTTTAAAATTTTTTTTTTTTGAATCATAAATGAAACGTTGCTAATAATTTGCCGTAATTGCTGTTATTGTGTCTTGTTCCTTTTTAAATGAAGGATGATAAATAATTTTTTTTTTTTTGCAACTGTAATAAAATATTATTATTGGAACTGAGAAGACAAGATTTGTTGCTTTTCATATTATTATAATTCAAATTATTTTAAACAACATAAAAAGAAACTGTTTCTTTAATCAATAGCCTGGTAATTTTTTTTTTAATATTTTGAAAATTTAGAATGGTGTTAGTTTAATATTTGCTTATATAATTTAATATGTTACTATATTTGTTTATAATTTGTTCAAAATTAAGCTCCTTACAATTTATTTTTAGCTATAATAAACAGTTTTAAAAAAAATTGAACATTTTTTTCTTCATATTTTTCCCCTCATAGTGTTTAATACATACATTATAAATTACTGATAATACATTGTCAATTAATGAGACCATTCATATTAATCTTGCAATTGTAGTCTAGAACATTGTTTTTGTAATAGCACCTTGAAAATGATGTTCAGAGAACAGATTAAAAAAAATTAATATAGTTAATTACGTTATGTTTAAGTTAAGTTTAGAGAAAAGCCATTCTAAAGTTGTTCTTGTTAAATTCTAGATACAATACAAAACTAAGAAATATCACCTAAAGTTAAAATATCTGTTTGAAATTTGAACAAAATTTTATATGTAAACTAAGATAATTGATTTCATATGGCTTTAGAATTAAAATAATTCTTGTATCACAATAAGTTTTAGAATCTGAATGGGGAATCACCGATTTCAATGAATCGCTTATGTATTTTGTATAAAGCTATAGTATTAGTACAATATTGAAACAATTAGTACTGACATAAGAAATAACTAGAATTCAATTATTTTTTTAAGAAAAAACAAAGTTGAGATTTGTATTTCGCACCTCGAAAAACCCTTAAAAACGAATTTTCACAATCAATATTCACTCGAAAATTATCAGGAATTTATCGTACTATAATATACACAAAATGGCACAAACCAGATACCTACAAATTATTTAGACTTGGAGGCAAAAAATAAAAGGTTTGGGGAGTTTTTCTTAATTTATTCCTTATAAGGCGTAAGATCTAAAAGTTATTGATATGATTCTGAAGAGTAATAATAATAGCTTTCCAACGGTTGTAGCTATGTTGTTGGAAAAAATCTCGAGGAATTAAAAATATTTTAGAAAACGGCGTGACGAAAAATTCTCACTTATAAGTCCAAAAACTATATAATATTGTATTTCTAAACAAAGTCGTATTAAGAAGTTTAAGGGCCAGTTGTACAATTCGAGTTCAAGCTTGAACTTGACTTGAACTCAAATTGTACAACTGGCCCTAAGTGGACACTAAAAACTTATCTGAATCTTTACTAGAAGCGTCTTTGGGCTTTTGTTATTTACCATCCATTATAATTCGCTTAATAAAATTGTTTTCCTTCTTTAACACAAATAAACAAATCGATAGATATATAATTTGCATACAATGCAGAGCAAAATAAAAAAAAGTAGCAATATAATAAAATAATAAAATTCTATAAAATATTTTTTTTCTCGGCTACAAAGGCGCATTGGCGAGAACACTTGGGTTTTTGGATCTAAAATCACCAAAAAATGTTGCTATCATTGACCCCAAGTCTGTAGCCTTCCCTTGTGAGTTATCACTACCATTATTTGAATCTACTCGTCGCTGTGTTACAAAGGCCTTGTCAGTTAGTGTTATTATCCTTAGGAACCAGGAGCATCTCCGTAAAGATATAGATTAATGGGGTAAAGAAATCAAGAACTTTAATAGAAAAGGGTTTTTGTTTGATATGAGAAGGAAGAAGAAAAGAAAGAAAGCAACAAAATATAATTTTAGCTAAAGGCAAAGGACACACACTACTCATCAAATGAGTTACTCAAAAATATGCTGTCCTTTTTCATTTCGCATATGACAGTCCAGAGATTCTCTGTTCTCTGCATAAATATAGATAAATTTTAGTTCTCGTTAGGTCGTTTGCTTCTCTCTGCAGAAATATTTACACTTTTCATTTTCA